TAGATCAGGTTAAGGGTCTGCTGCCTGTGCTGGTCAGCTTCATCCCTAAGTGCATACAGCAGAGGGTCAGGTTCACTATCAGCCCTTTTCCTTTTAAGCCTGCTGGTAACAAAGGACACCATGACTACAACCAGGGTAGCTACTTGCCTACACATCATCTCACGGCTCACAGAGGGATCCATCTACATGCATATAACAATGTAACACAAACTCAGATCATCATACTCTGCCTAGCCTCAACATGATTGTACATTGATTTAGTAAGCAAATAAAAGCATGGCTGCATTTAGGTACATGCCTCCAGGTGCTCAGGACAACATCATCGACCATATTATAAAAATACAGAAACAAACCATATGAACAGCAAGAAACGGATCAAGTATACAGAGCTCATCAAGGAACAAGCAAATCATAGTAGCAAGCAAGAAAGACTGTAAGAACGACCATCACCGAACTATGATAGCAAACCCTAATCCATCGAGGAACACCAAGTAGTACTCAAATCAGATGAACCAATCATGAACAACAACTAGGATATGAAACCCTAACATCATCGCCGTGAAGGAGGGAGGATTGGGGGTCAATTTCACCTCGAGGGTCGGCGTCGGCGCAAAGGAGCGGCGCAGTGGGAGGAAGAACAAGACCCGACGAGGCAGACGAAGCAAATCCGGCCAGAGAGGAAGCAGATCGGGCCGAAAGAAGAGTTTCACCACCACCGCACCCACAGAAGAAGAGGGAAGAAGACGGCCGCCTCCACGGAGTCCCCGTGGTCGACGGAGTGGCGCCGTGTCGTAGCAGATCCAAGGCGGGGAACGGAGACGAAGCTCGCCGGGGGAGGACGCCGCCGCGACACACACCAGCTCACCACCACCGCCGGTCTCACGTGGCTAGAGGAAGGCGAAGAGCACGGAGAGGAAGGAAGGAGAAGCAGCAGCAAGCGACGCTTATAAAGGCGGAGGATTTCGCCGGTGGGGAGAGCGCGCACGGACCTTTCCCTCTTCCCTCTTCCCGCGCGAGCCAGCCGCCGCCGCCGAAATCGCCCTAAATCGCCCGCCCTCGTGCCGCTCGTAGCCACGCCCGGGATAGTTTCGTTTCCCCGGAGCCAGTCGGAGGGGGCCGTTTTGCACCCCGGCTGCCGGGCCGCTGAGTGGGCCAAGGCTCCCAAACACGGGAGTTGCAGCCCACCAGCGCAGCCGGGCTCTTGGGCCACGCTCCCAAACACGCCCCATGTGTGTTCAAAGAGACTTATCTGCACGTTGTCCTGCAAAACTCTCTCACACAGCAATCACAATCAGTGTATACTAGGAATCAAGCAGCATCTACAGAGAACTGCACACACATACTAGAGTGAAGTATGACCAAACAAGCAGACGCCACATGGAAACATGTCAAAGAGACAGAACATGAACACTGACCCTCCAGACTCATTGACCTCTGAAGGCTGACGGCAATTAGATTTCCAAGTGCCCCAATTAGTATCAGAAATTAGTAGTTTGCTGCCGGGAAAGGAAGCAATCAGGGCAAATTCTCAACAAGATATTAGCCAAAGCGCCAAAAGAGACAGAATTTGAACATTGACCCTCCAGACTCATTGACTCTGAAATGACTTTCCAAATTTAGTATTTCTCCATCCCCCATTATTAGTATTCTAAATTAGCAGTTTGCTGCCTCACTAGTCATCCAGCTCTTGGTGGATCAGGGCTTTTTTTTATCAAATTTATTTTAGAGATTAGCCAAATCGTTTTCTAAATTTAAATTTAGTTATTATTGAATCTTTCGGAGATGCTCAAATGTATAAACATCCGAACACAGGCCAAATTTAGTAGTTCTCCATCTCGTATTATTTGCTCTCTACTAACTGGCATAGCCTACCACTAGTGCATCCCCAGACCCTAAGGCTTCTATTTCCATACTCTAAAATTTTTTATCAAATTTATTTTAGAGGGTAACTAATATCCATTTCTTCCGAATTTGGCTAGACTTTTATACCCATTATTTCAGATTTTAGTCCCTCCTCCCCATCTCTCTCACACAAACTCTCTCTCTCTCCGCTACCGTGTTTAGCGTGCACAGCGCGCTCTAAGACTTAGAAGTAGCGGTGGCATCGATGCCCAAATCTAAAAGCCGTTTGCTGGCGCTCGGTGCGAAGCGCGCACGGAGACAAGCGTGCTGCAGGGCTGTTTAGCGGTACTCGGACCGGATAACCTAACTGGCAACTGTACGTGTGAGGAACCGTTGGCGGTGGCGCGGTGCACATTTTTCTCGGAACATATCCATGCATTCATCATGCCAGTAGTAGGGCCTAGTACGATGTTGATGCAACTTGCATTGGGTCAAGTGGAGTACATCGTTGCTCGCTTCGTACGTGTCCGCTGAATGTCTGTGCAGACTTGCAGTGCGCGTGCGTGACAGGGACGGCTTAGCCGCCGATCGAGCACTACTGCTACGATTGGTCATCAGCGTCACTCAACTGGGGAAATTAAAGCATGAATATCCCCATCAGCGACCGGACCGAGCGGCCAACGGTGTTGTACGAGCGTGTCGGGTGGTTGGTAGTGGGTACTGTACGTGTGGAGGAACCGTTGGCGGTGAGCCGGAGCCGGAGCACGGGAGCACTAGTAGCATATATGGACCAGTACCAGCCGACCACGTCGTCGCGGCGGCGGACGGACGGACGGACGCCCGCCGTGACCCTTCGATCCTCGGCGCCGGCTTGCCTGAATGATCAAAGTTTAATGCTACAGTACTTGGTCATGAACGGCGACGCTTGCATGGAAGCACAAGCACTCACGCGCTGCTAATGAAGTGCCGTGAACGGAAGCGTACTGGGCACACGTACTCATTATCTACCACACGGCAGGCCATGCCGGCTGGGACTGGGAAGAGAGGAAGAGGACCACTGGTCACTGGATGAGATGCCGGCGCATCACGTACGTCGGGATTGATGGATCATCTAGAAGCCCTGATCGAAGAACGAACAACCGCCGTCCGATGGATGGCGAGTAATGAGCCAGCCGCCAATGCGGTGGTGCCACTGCCACCCAAACGTATACGTGCACGCATATGCACGCACCGACGCACGCCAGTGAGGCTAGCCGGCCGGGGGATATGCACCCGTGCCCGTGACGACCGCGGCGTCGCACCAACCATGCGTGTGTACGTGACAGCGCGAGGCTACGGTTGACGGTCACCGATGGATGGATATCGACGGACGGACGGACGGGCGAACCAACCAATTATTAAGCGAGAGCCAGTTAGCCTCGCTCGGTGTGTGTCAGGTCAGGTCGTTCAGGTCAACGGCCGGTCGATCGCCCGTGAAGGACGCGCGCGCGATCCGGCCGGCGTGTCGTTAATGCTCGATCCGTACGGCCGTATCTGGCCAGCGGCGGCCGGATCGATCGATCGTCCGCGTCAAGAGATCGAGGCTGGCATCCAACAGCCAACATGACAGCGGACGGCAAGAGAGATGGAGATCGAGAATGGCATCCAGCACCTCCACACTAATCTCCACAGTGTAGTGTTAGTGTTACGGGTCCCGGTAATAATCTGCACAGACACTTAGGAGCTGTTTGGTTGTAGAAATGGAAACGCAAACGTAAATAGAATTGAACGGCAAATGTTACCGGCGGGAACAGATTTGAACTAGCTAGCCTTTACGTTTGCGTTACTGTATAGGAACCAAACAGCTCGTTACTGTGGCTCATGTGAGTGCATCTCACTGACTCTGACTCTCTGAGCTCCAAGAGAAATATACGGATGGCCTTAGCTTGGAGTACAGAGAAGAGGCTGAGGCAAAAGATTCAGTCAGTCAGGTCCCAGCAGCGGTACAGGGAGAAGGTCCTTAGTGGCACGGGAAAGAGACTCTATATGGCCAAGGAGTTATCTGCACGTTGTCCTGCAGGAACTCTCTCACACACCAATCACGATTCACAATCAGTGTAGGAATCAAGCAGCATTTACAGAGAACTGTACAAACGTACAAGTATGATTGTATGAAGTATGAACAAACAGAAAAAGCCCGTCTGGAATGTGTCAAAGAGACATAACATGAACACTGACTGACCTTCAGAGGCATTTACCTCTGAATGCTGACGGCAAGTGTACTTCGTAGTGCCGGAATTATTGCATCAGAGATAGCAAATTCAAGGAGTTTGTCGCCTGGAAAGGCAGCTCTGTAGACCAGGGTTTATCGGAAATAAACATCCAAAGTTCCAAACACAAACAGCTTTGTGCTCACATGACATGACTATTTCCTAGGTTGAAAAGAACTGTTCCCATAGAAATTTGCACGAGATAAACTTGGCATGCTTGTTCAAGATTCCGATACTGTTTGCTCCAGATTCACGCACGTCTACCTTTCTCGGAGGATCTAGCTAACTGACGTCAGAATACTCGTTGCAAATGTTCAATGTTGAGACAAGTATGCTGACGAATCCTGGGACTGTGCTTCAGAAAGCAACGTCCAAGAGACAGAACATGCTGAAACAAGTATGCAGAAGAATCTTCAGGGTAATGACACGGGAATGCAGATCATACGGCCACGGAGTGTCAGCACGGTTGTCTGAAACTCTCACACCAATCAGTGTAGGAATCAAGCAGCATTTACAAAGAACTGTACACAAATACTGGTATGAAGTATGTACAAACAGACACACACCATGTGACCATATGGAACTCTGTTTCAGAGGCCATGTCGAGGAGACAGAACATGAACAGTGGCCTTCAGAGGCGTTAACTCTAAACGCCTGGTAGCATACTGGCAAGTGGACTTGGAAATGCACGATTTATCAGAAAAGGGGCACAATGCACAATTCTTACATCAGCAACAGCAATTTCATGGAGTTGGCCGCCTGGAAAGGCAGCTCTGTAGATCAGGTTTTATTAGATTATATAAATATCCAAACATATGCAGCTTTGAGCTCACATGATATGATCCCAAGGGGGAAAAGGCTGCTTGAAAGGTGAAGACAAATTTGTAGAGATAAACTAGGCATGCTCGTTCAAGACTCGGACGCTGTTTGCTCCAGATTCACTTCCACCCTTCTTGGAGGATCTAGCTGCAGGTAGGTATAGGGCTCGGTAGGTTCCTCCCTGCAAACCACAGGTCCATACGTGAAATACTGCTGATGCTAATGAAAAGGATAAATATTCAGGGTCAGAATACTCGATGCAAAATTTTCAATGTTGAAATAAGCATGCAGAAAAATCAAGCTTCTTTTTGGATCATGGCTTAAGAACACCTAGTGTTCCCACACTTTTTTGCCTAGCTTGTGGCAAAGAAAAAGCTCACCATAGCTTAGAAGTTTGGCACACCTAAGGGCCACTTGTCACAATGCCATGGGCATATGGCATGTGACCTAGCTCAAACGACGTTGCCATGCCTAAGTTGTGAACCAGATGCTTGCCTAACCAAGTCAAACCGTTATCCTAGTTGGATCATCTGGCTGCACGGCTGCACGCAGCACGCTTGAATGAAGTCCCCAAGTTGACGTCTTCTGTAAAATAGTTTTCTGAAGTACTTAACTCTTATTTTTATAGGAATAAATTTATGTTCAATATCAAATATGTCATGACATTAGAGGTTTTCACACCCTTTTCGAGTCATGGCATAGTAGAAAAGTATACTTCCTGTTCATTTCAGTGGCATTTAATTGCTTATAAGCTGTTATAACCTTGGCTTGCTTAAACTGGTTGCTCCCGGCCAGGTTGCCTCAGTGCACCAACTTGGCCAAATGACTAATCAAGCTGAGATGGACATCATATTTTGACTAATCATATGCCAGGTTTCACATCTACCCTATGCATAAAAGAGCATGCCCTATCCTTCCAAGCAACCTAACTAAAAGAACCTCCTTCCCAAAAGATGCAACATAAGTACATTACATGTGGAAGCAGGCAACCCAAAAGGCCATTTTTCTGAGAGAAACTAACTAGCTGATGGCACAGCCAGTCGCCCAGTCCCAGTCCAAAAACTATGCAGGCAGTCACTCCATGAACTATGGTGATTCACAAGCTATTAAGCTAATGCATGCAATTCTGTAACTATGTCAGTTATAGGGAAAATAAAATTGAGCAAATCCATGCATAGTTACTAGTGGATATCCTCAATGTGTTCCTTGCTAAACAGTTTCCAAACCAACTATGGGAGCTCATATAACTTCTGTGAGAATGCCAAAATTCATATTACAAGCTAATGCATGCAATTCAGTAACTATGTCAGCTATAGGGAAAATAAAATTGAGCAAATCCATGCAGAGTTACTAGTGGATATCCTCAATGTGTTCCTTGCTAAACTGTTTCTAAACCAACAAAACATTATCTCTTGAGAGATTAACCTTCATGAGCAATCTCCGCAGTTATTACTAGTTAATATCCTCCTCAATAAAAAAATAGCAAAGATATAGCAAACAAGATAAAGTGGCCCTCCTTAACTTCACTGTAGTCAGTACATGCTAGTTTAGATTTCCTAAATAAGAGCTTGTCTATTTCTATTTATCATCAGCCTAAATAGATTATATGGACAAGATAAAGTGGCCCTCCTTAATGCACTAGAATCATCCAAAAGTGTCTCCCACCATATTGCAGATCAGATTAGATATGTCAAAAGCTAAGCAAATAGATATTATGAGAAGGTACACCTACCCAGGTTTTGAGCGCATGCATTGCCAGAAGAGCTTGAACGGAACTGGAACTGTCTTGAATGGGTTCCCTTCAAAGCAAGCCTGCAAAAATAAATGACAAAATAGAAGTATGTTCAACATATGTATAACTATAAAAATTTCAGACTTAACAATGCAGCACATGACCTAATGTTGTCAAAATCATTAGAAACAAAACCAATAGCTTCATCTTTATATGGAAAACATGCAGTAAGTGGCTACGTCTGATAGGCACTCACTACCAAGAATCCGAAATGGGGTAGGATCATATTTGTTAAAATCACGATTCTATGGACAATCTTAGTTTATCAGGTTGATTCTACGATTCTGCTAAGTAGAATCTATGATTTTAGTAGTTATGATCCTACGATTTACATCCCAAAATTGGAGTTCCGATTCGATAGAAGATCACGGTTTTAACAACCTTGGGTAAGATTGTGGACGCTGGCAGTTCAGTGTTAGCACATAGCACGGCTACCATGTCATGACAGCGGACAACTCCAACTGACTAATGATGGTTTTCATGCAGTTCTCTACTGAAAATGCTGCACCTATGTCATGATGTTATCAGTACATTTTTCAGGGATATAACAGAAACAGAAAGCATCTGGATGGTTTCTTCAGCATTCCTAATTGTGTTCTTAGGCATATATATGGGGTTTATTCCATCCTAGAAGCAGGCACATCAGTTAGACAGCTAGGCTTTTTGCTCCTTCCAGACTTTGCTTTCCAGATTTATATTGGAGCTTCCAACAGTAGCCTGAAAGCATTAACAGCAGTGCAAAGCAGAAACAGTACTGATTAAAGGTTGTCGAATCATGGTCTCTCCTAGGGTTAGTTACAAGGTAGGACCGTAGGAGCCTAGGTAGCAACATTGTGCACAAACATATCAGGAAGACATTTCAAGAGACCAAAGTCGAGTTATAAGCCCTGATGACTGAGAAGCATTGGGGACGAAACAACACAATGCCAGCGGCCAGCCTGATCCCAATTTGAAGCGACTCTAAGTTGGGCACAATCAAAATCGATAGACGGTGGAAATAAGTACTGAGGATACATCACTAAACTGGCCAAGAATCATCATTTCCCCATTCAGAACTTCAGATGGTTATGAGCCGTGACTACCCCCATTCATCTGTTGGAGGACATAATGGACCGACTGCTAGAAGCAAACATGTGACAAGACTACAAGAGGGCGAACGGACCTGGACGACGTCCTCGGCGCGGTCGTTGCAGCGGTGAGCCTTGGGCTGCCGCGTGTCGCCCTCGGGCAGACCCCACGGGCTCTCTCGCCGCGGCACCGGCCTTTCCGCGCTCATCCTGCCCCACTTCTTCCACCACCACCTCTTCTCTTCTCCCCTGCCCCCTCTTACCTCCTGAATTCAAAGAACAGAAAAAAAGAGTCAGATTCACCAGCACGACGCACCCACCCACAAATCCTGAGATCACGGCAACGCAGTAGAGAGATCGGACGGGCTCACAGAGCGGACTCGCCTCCTCCCCTGCGCGCAGCGTGCGATCCCGAGAAGAGACGACGGCTGCTTCGGTTCCCCCTGCTCGCAGCAGCCGAGCCCAGGGAGAAGAGGAAATGGGAACAAGACGAGACTAAATGGGCTGCATTCTTATCCAGCTCATATAGTCTAAATTCTTTTTGGCCCGTTAGGAGTTCAGGCCACCAAATTACAGGCACTGTCCTTGTCTAAGAGATGGGGCCCACCCGCAGTGACAGAAGAGCGAGGGCAAAAGAGTAATTTTTGTTGGGCGATGGTGGGTCTAAACCCTAATGGGCTGCAGCCTCTTGTATAAATAAACGCTCACCACTCATCCATCGCCCCTCTGAAGTTTCGGCGGCGGTGCAGGCGGCGGCGGCGTGCTCGTGATCCCAACCCGAAGCGTGCCTCTGCTCCGGTCACCCGTCGCTCCACGCAACCATGGTAAGCGAGCCTCTTCTCGTCTGGTTAAGGCCCGTACGCGGATCTAGGTGCAAGCACGGTAGCGAGCGGTGGTTCGATTGTTTTGTTTGGAGATGGGTTCCTAAGAGCGTTGATTTGGCTGTTGATTAGGGCTATTGTTGTTTGGGGCGGTTGCCCGTGGTGGAAAGTATTGTCTGGGCTTGTAAATTACAATTGGAGATCTGTCCTTTGGTAAATTAGTTCGTACTACTATGTTGAAGATTGAAGTGATTCTGGGTCAACAGTTTTGCTAATCTGATCATGATTTATATGAGTGTTCTAGGCGAACATGTTTTATCTGCCAAATGCAATATTTGAGATATGCTGTTAAAACCGTGGAAGCACTGATATGATTAGAATCTACTATTACAAACTACAGTATAAGAGTGAGAAATGCTGAATATGTGTGGGTTTGCTTGGGTTGAATTGCTCACGAAGCTGGAAAGCATATGTTTTGTGAGGATAATTGTTGGCAATATATATCGTGATAGTCTTGTTTGAGTCCTTGATGAAATGGTAGGCTTGATTAGTATACCATGACTGAATAGCTGTTGAATGCCATCTATCATTTTTCGTCCAATGCAAATTTTAGTACCTTTTCGTTCATGTAAATCCACTACGGGGTACAGGCTAGTGGCTACTGTTGGTTGGCTTGAAATGGTGGGCTTAATTCTGCTTACTGTATTGAATTACTACTCTTTTGATCCTCTTAGGCTCTTATTGTCACAACACCACTGTATCAACCCAGGTTCACTTGTGTACTCTGGAATAGTTTCTGGAGGTGGTTGAGACGACAATAAGTTAAATGCCATCATATAGTTGTATATGATTGCAGTCGAGGAGGAAGACCAGGGAGCCCAAGGAGGAGAACGTCACCCTTGGACCCACTGTCCGCGAAGGAGAGTATGTCTTTGGTGTTGCTCACATCTTTGCGTCCTTCAATGACACCTTCATTGTAAGTGCAGTATATGTTGTATCTGTGTATAGACCTTTTCATTCCATTCCCTAGTTTAACTGTGTCATGTTCTAATATGCAGCATATCACTGATTTGTCTGGGAGGGAAACTCTGGTTCGGATCACTGGTACCATCCTAAAACCTTGGTTCATGCTTGACCTTGAAGGCCATTGTACTTAGTTTTAACCGTGATGTGCCAAACCAACCATGTAGGTGGCATGAAGGTCAAGGCTGATCGTGATGAGTCGTCGCCTTATGCTGCTATGCTTGCTGCTCAAGATGTTGCACAGCGTTGCAAGGTATGTGTCGTGAAGTCAAAAATTTCATTAGAGGTTCTACTGCAATCACTCATCGATTTGTCTGTGTATCCAAAGATGATGTTTGCTTAATTAAATTGAATTTGCTGTATCCAGATAAGTAATTTTTGAGTTGGCCTTTTGTAGTGAAGGCAATAATTTCATTATAGAGGTTCTACTGCAATGAGCAATCGCTCATTGATTCGTCTGTATATCCAAAGATGATATTTGCTTAATTAAATTGAAGCCTAGGATTATGTAGGGATGCTTTAGAGTTGCTGTATCCAGAAAAGTAATTTGTGAGTTGGTGTTTTGTCTTCAGGAGCTTGGTATTACTGCACTGCACATTAAGCTTCGTGCCACTGGAGGCAACAAGACCAAGACCCCTGGACCTGGTGCTCAGTCTGCTCTCAGGGCTCTTGCTCGTTCTGGGATGAAAATTGGACGCATTGGTAAGAATTCTGATTCGAGTTTTTAGGGCTAACTGTACTTCATTGAAGTTGCATCAATTACCGTAACATGATGCTTTATTTATTTTGTGTACAGTATACTTAATGCAGCATCTGTGTTATGTGCAGAGGACGTTACCCCGGTGCCCACTGACAGCACTCGCAGAAAGGGTGGTAGGAGGGGAAGGAGGCTGTAGGCGTCTTCTTCATGCTATTTGCCGTCCCTTGGCTCTGGCCATCAAGAAGCTAGTCCTCTCTGGGGTAGTGTTGCTTTTTCTATGCTTGTCAAGAGGAGCTTTAATTTTGCTCTATGTTGGTGACCATTTACCGTTAGTCCTGAATCTATGATGTTGCATGGATAATGTTTTTGGTTGAGGTATCGACTTGTCATTTATATGCTAGGTATGCATTTTCACTCTATATAAACGTGTATTAGAATAATTTCCCGTTTCGATGAGGTGCAGTGCAGCAGAATTGCGCGGTTTTGCTTGCTGTCTTGCTGACCTCAAAACATTCATTCCGAATGTTCAGCATCATGTTGCGATCGTGTGTTATTGTGTAGGGTTAATTTCTGAAGAAGATCTGGGCTTTTGCCTGCAATCGTGCATATTGAGCATATCAAGAAAGATTGTTGCAATGGAGAAAAAGGCTACAACCAAAAGCAATCGTGCATGTATTTATTATTAGGGTTATACATTCGACAAATATTTGAACAAATGCAAATGCAAATGCGAATTCAAATGATGCCTCTAGTCTTCACAGTGCAAGTCATCTCACTAGAGTCACATTGGCAAAAGAAAAGAACACGCCGCAGCAGATCGTCTCAGGTAGCAAGCATGGCGTAACCGATGAATGCGCCGAGCGAGCCGACGAAGCCCGCGACCATGGGTGCAGCCGCGGAAGGCGGAGGTGGCGTGTTGGAGCTGCTGCCGCCCTCGCCGGCCGGCCCGTTGGCGGAAGCAGACGGTGGCGGGGAGGACCCGCCTCCTGGTGTTGGTGTCGTGGACGGCGACGGGGTCTGGGCAGCGGGCGCCGGCGGCGAGCTCGGGGTGGTGGTCGTGGGAGCGGGCGCCGGAGCCGAAGCCGCCGGGGACGGCGGCGAGGTAGGGGTGGCCACGGGAGCTGGCACGGGAGCAGCGCTGCCCGAGGGTGGCGACGACGACGGGCTCGTCGCCGGTGCAGGGGCAGCAGCAGGAGGCGAGGAGGGCGGGCTCGGCAGCGGCGCGGACGACGTCGGCGGCGCTGCGGGAGGCGTGCGGGTGCCGGAGCGGTCGGCGAGGACGACGACGATGAGCTTCTCGTTGGCGCGGCAGTTAGCCTCGTTGCCGCTGACGAAGAAGAAAGGGCCCGAGCGGTCGAACGTGAACACGGTGCTGCCGTCGTCGAACCTGGCGACGTACGACGAGGTGTTGCAGGCGTTGTAGGCGGCCGCGTCCACCAGGAGCACCGAGTCCGTCTCCTTGGGGTACACGAACACTGCACACGCACACGCACATGCACGAACAGGCAAAGAACTCATCATCACCATATTCACCAGCGACGACCAAGATGAGCAGCAGCAGGTGACGCCGCGCGGCGTGCGCGCGCACGGCCATGGCGACTACTTACGCAGCTGGTCGCCGATCTGGAAACGGAGCCTACCCGCCCAGGTGTTGTAGGGCTCGGAGCCCGCGGCCGGCACGCTCCACCCGCTCTGCCCGCCCACCCTGAACTGCGTCGCGCCGGCCGACGCGGCCAGGGCGGCCACGGCGCAGACGAGCACCAGCAGAGCGGTCGGCCTCGCCGCCATGCCTGGACACAGGGCACACTGGATCGCAGCACGCACCCTGTGGCTCGGTCGGGAGTCGGGAGGAGTCTCGCTCGAAGAGGGACTGTGTGCACTTGTTGGACTCTGGATCGCAGGCAGGGGAGACGTCTGGTATTTGTAGGTCGTCGTGTCGCGTCGACGCCGCGGGCGGTCTTTACACGGTGTCAGGTTCGTTGCTTTCACCTCCCGTTAACCGCCGCCTGGAGGCAGGAGCTAAAGCTAAGCATGCAAGTTACCAATAGCTACCAGCAGGGCCATGGCGAGCGCCTGGTCTGGTCGCGGCCATTCACACTGCCTCTCTCTTTCCCTCTTTCTCCACGTGACTCGCTGGAGGCATCGCAACATACGCACGCATATGATCCGTGCGTAGCGGATGCTCGTCGATCGACTCGTCGCTTTCGGTTTCAGAGGAGCATATGATCCGTGCCTGCCTACCAGCAATGCAATGCACATTTGCTGCAGGCGCTGTCCGTCCATGGCGCACACACGTGGCAGGGCCTGGACCGTCCCCTGGAAAGTTCCGTGCTCCGCGCGCGTTCCATCGGTCCAATCGGATGCATCCACGTTGAAACCAACGCAGAGGAAAACAAGGAATTGAGCTCGTCGCGTCAGTCGACCGATCATCAGGACATACTAGAATTAAAGACGATAACGACAATCTTTATTTCACAGGGATGGGTCTTGACTCTTGAGACTCGAGAGCATATATGTTTCAAAAGAAAAAAAAAAAAAAAACTCTTGAGAGCACAGCACAGCGGACCGTGATACTTCTGAGACCGTGTCCGAGAGGTTATTCGTGACTTCGCCTGGCCGCGGCCGCCAGGAAAACAGAGGAGCTCCACCTGCGGCAGCCGGGCATGCACGCGGAGCCACGAGAGTGGCGAGTGGGGGGTGGAAGCGCCGGAGACGGAGAGGACCTTTCTTTTCTTCCGAGCTGCCACATGTGACTGAGACCGTGGAAGAGGAGACTCGACTCGGGCTTTGTTTAGACGAGTGTTAGTAGATCAGTATTTGGCACTATAGTATTTTTGTTTGTACTTTTTCTGACTACTCGTAAAGAAAGTCGTTTTGGATAGCGACACGGTCTCCAAAACACAACTTTAACTTCTTGTTTCTATAAAAATATTTATCAAAAAGTGATATATGTATATTTTTATGAAAGTATTTTTCAAGACAAATCTATTCATATAATTTTCACATTTTCAAACTCAACAACTTGAGAGTTATTCATGATTTATATTCCCAAGGTTTGACTCAAACCTTGTCCTAAACGACTTCCTTTACGAGTACGGAGGGAGTATTTGATAATTATTGTCCAATCATGGTCTAATAGGCTCAAAAGATTCGTCTCGTAATTTACAATCAAACTATGTAATTAATTATTTTTTATTTACATTTAATACTCTATACATGCGTCCAAAAAATTGATATAATGAAAAGAGAGTGAAAAAACTTGTAATCTAAACAAGGCCAAGGCCTCACTCTCTCTCTCTCTGGGGGTGGTGCATCAGAATGGTTAGGCCCCGTTTAGATAAAAAAATTTTGATTTTGGCTATTATAGCACTTTTCGTTTTTATTTGACAATTAGTGTCTAATTATGGATTAATTAGGTTTGAAAGTTTCGTCTCGCGATTTCTCACCCAACTGTGCAATTAGTTTTTTTTTTTTACATTTAGTACTCCATGCATGCGCCGTAAAATTCGATGTGATGGATACTGTGCAAAAAAATTTGGATTTTAGGGGCATCTAAACGGGGCCTTAGTACAAAATCGCTGAATGAATGAACGAAGACTCGAAGAGGCTGCTGATTTGTCTGCATCTCTGACGTGCTGCTCTCGCACAGCTCAGTCAGTCACAGCTCAGTCATCAGTCCGAACGGGAACCGACGGAGTGGTCGGCTTGAGTTGACGTCTTCTTCCGCTTGTTGGCGAGCAGAAACCACGACACGACCAATTCAGCAAACAACGCATTACTCAGTCGCTCTTCATCCGGCTCCTGTCATTTTTTCCGAACAAACCGAAGCCGCCGCCTCCGTATCAATAGCAAGCACCGAATCGAGCACACAAGCCGTTACAAGAAGGAAAGCCGTGTCATTCCTTCACGAGTGAATTGCGTGTGTATACACATACGACAGTGATGGTCGGCGGAGCAGCCACACGGACGGGACAGAGGCGTCCAGCAGCGTCCTCGTCCGGCCATCCCGTCCTGCTGCTGCGACATACCGTGTCAGGCTCAGGCGGCTTGCAGGCCGGCGGGAACGTGCAGCTCGCAGGAGTGGCCGTCGCACGCCGTGGACCGCCACGAGGACGACCCGCCGGGCGACACCGCCCGGGAGGATTTCCTCGGCCTCGCCGCCTTCTTCGTGGTCGCGGGTCCGCCGCCTCTCGCGGCGCCGTCCTGGCCCGAGCTGCTGTCGGCGCAGGCCTCCGTCGGCGGCGCCGCGCCTGTCGCTGGTTGCTCGAAGTCTGCAGCAGGACAGTGTCAGTATCCGAAGAACGTGTGACGGAAAGCCCAACAGGGCACTGACCACTGAAGCGTTTTTTTTGCAGGCCGGGGTCGCAGAGAAAGGCCCAGAATAGCGCCAAAAACACACTGCCTGGCCCGGTTGTGCCGAATACTAGTGCCACAACCAAGCTTCATTATTTTGTTCGGTGACCCTTTTCAATTTCCTCAAAGATACTACTATCTCCATTTCAGATTATAATAAATCGTCTTACCTTTTTTTACATACATAAATTTTACTATATATTTACATATACACTATATCTAAATATAAATTAAAAATTATGTACAAGTATATAGAAGAACCAAAACGACTTACAATTTAGAATAGAGAGAGTAGATTTTTTGCTCTTTTATCTATGCATCATGACAGAGGGTGTGGTAAGTTTATAAAGTATACTCCCTCCATGCTCAAAAATAAAGTCATTTTGGACAGCTACATGGTCTCTAAAGCATAACTTTGACTACTTATTTTTATAAAGATATTTATCAAAAAGTGATATATGTAAATTTTTGTGAAAGTATTTTTCAAGACAAATCTATACATATGGTTTTCACATTTCCAAACTCAACAACTTAAAAGTTATTTATGATTTATATTCTCAATATTTGACCCGAGCCTTGTCCAAAACGACTTTATTTTTTAGTATGGAGGAATATTAAATTACTTTTTCTTATACTATTCCATGATTTTTACCACCTCCATTTTACGAAAAGGGTCATTCTGTTTTTTTATAATAAGTCAAATGATCTTAGGTTTGTCTAAATTTATATTAAAAATACAAATATTTATGATTTCAAATAAATATCATCCGATTCATCGTTACTATATTTTTCATAGTAACTTATCAATGTGTTATCATAAATGCCGAGAACCTTCTCTGTTAGCTCACCGATCAATCAAACATAAGCTACTTTTCATAGTAAATCAAAACTATCATAAATGTCAGAACCTTTGTTAGCGATCAATCAAGGTAGTAGTTCTTGACTTAAATACAAAACTATCTTGTCACTTTTTACGGAGGTAGTAGTTCAAAGCCTTATACTCCTATCTTTAATTTTTTTTTTTTGTTCAGGCAATAGCCAAATTTTATCATTGCTTGACTATAGAAATAAATTACCAATTGTCGCTTGTGATTGTTCTTTTAATTCTACGTCTGTATAGCTGCTCCTGTCTTTTGAGGGAAAACCAGAGCAAAGTGAAATGAGGTGAAAAAAAATTTCCGCGACACCGTCGCATGCAAGCCTATTTGCGGCACCGCTTAATCGTGTTGCTGCAGGTGGGACCATGCAGAGGATGCCGCACGGAGGATTCTATGCGACACCGTCGTATAGATTTTTTTTTTCCTGAAATGAGGGCGAGGTACTTACCTAGGGAAGCCCAGGAGGTGTGCCTGGACTGCGCAGCAGAGCTTACGATGGATGCTCCCCGTCCTCCTGCTGTCACCTCCTCTACTCCTCTGAATTCATTCATCTGCTCAAACAGCACAGCCATCAGCCATGCTCAGAATCAGAACCAGAACCAGAACTCACTCTTTTCTTCCAATGATAGACAGATTACACAAGCCAAAGCCATGAGGTGGGTGTTGATCCTTACCCAGCTCGGACAGGAGTCGCTGGCGCCCAGGCCTACGTGCGATACATGCCTCACGTCTGTAGGGTACCCGATCTCGATCTCATGCTCCCTCTGCACTGCTGCAAGGCCACAGAGATTCAAAGCTTATATCAGCCAACAGCCATCGGTATGAGCTGCACAGATCCACAGCTTATCAACTATTCCATTTTTTTAAGAAAAAAAAATTCTTGGCGTGTTCCATTCCATCCTGTTATGTAGCCAAGGAGGTGAGAGCTAGAGACATGGAAGTCGGAAGAAATGGCACTTACTGAATATTTGTGCGATGATCTTCAGACCTCTGAATATTCCCTTCATCGCTATCGCCATCGGCGAGGCCTTTGGCCTTCCCTCTGAAAAACACAAGGTTGACCTGTAACCTCAAGCGTGGTTGGAACACTGAATCAAACCAATTGTCGGGTCATTCTCAGAATCTCTACGGGATTCAAATCAGATTTCCATGAACCGGTACATGAATACTGATTACGATCAGAGCAGGCAAAAGTAGCTGTGGCTGTACCCTTTTTTTTGACGCTAATGTATCTGAGCTGCAAGCTTCCTTCCTTGGGTACACCTGACCTGAGAAACAGGGGGAACGGGAGCTGCTGGATATACAGAAACCCCGGTTCAGAAATGGGGGCAGCGGCGAAGAGAAAGGTGGTGACGAGAATACAATGACAAGGAAGGAAGGAGATCTGAACCTTCTATCTATATTGACAGCACAGCACAGCTCAGCTCCCCCTGTGATCTGATTGTTCACAAATTAGGTGGGGTTTCCTCTTCCACTTCTCTCCAGCCATTTCTTGAGAACAGGTGTAGCTCCGTACCTCGAGTCCGTTGCGTCACTGTCCCTCATAATCCCTTCTTGTTAGTAGTAATAACTATGTAGTACTACTACTGTTCTGTTCTGCACGATGATCTTTATGAAAAGGAAATACAGTTGTTTCATTGTGTGTGTGTGTGTGTGTGTGTTTCAAGATGATTAGATGAAGATGGATGTGTTTCACCAGCGCAAAACATCGGTTGTACAGTCACTTTCTCACATTAGTGAAGTTATTATATTAAGTACTCCTAAGTCTCAAGGGTACGCTTTTCTCCTTTACACATTTAACCTAACATCCAAAACTTTTCCGAGACCATTTTCAAAAACAAGTTTTCTAAGCCCAAGTTTTCAAAAGGGTTTGCTGAGCTCATTATTCAAAAAGTTTTCTCAGCAAGGACACTCTACCAAATCACTGATATCGAGTGTTGATCTGAATATATAGCTGTGGTAGATATATTCTTTACATGGATGGCAAACGCTGGATCTACCATATATGCCCTCCAGTACCATATCAATATATCATGCAGCAAACTATCCAAGCAGTGCATTGGTGTTTCCACCGGTTTATGTTCTTTTAGACGCGGATTGCACCGACTCAATCACTGGATAGAGATTCAGCATTAAAGGATGGACGCATCGTGGCTAAAATATGTCATGCTCAATGCATGCATGGGGTCTGAATGTCTGATGGTCCTATTGATTGATTTCTAATCATCACAAATTACAGCAGCAAATGCAAATTGCAAATGTTTGGATGCTGTACTGGAACAGTAAACAAATTAAAAGATGACTGACACCAACAAGATGCGTGCTTGTTTAGGTACAATCATTTTGACTAGTATCAAATGGAATAGATTTTAGCTGTTAAACATGTGAGTACAAAACTTGATTCCTGAGGTCAGGAGGTTTTCCTTACCAAGTACGTACAAATTTTAAGCTGAACCAGTATCATTGACCAATTCCTTGGGTTTCACTCTTTCAAACTTTTGCGCATTAAAATGCACTTTTCTAATTATTATCCAATTGAAAGGTTTCCGGTTGTTTCCATCTATGAGTGCCGTTAGCTGTTAAATACTCCTATGTGATTAAAGAATTCCAAGTCCAATTTTTAGCTGAAAGTTCAACGTCAGCACCGTATTCCTTTGGTTTCACTCCTCAAGAATTTGGCTTATTATATCATTTTGATTGACAAGATACTCGCCCGAATATAAATAAACCGCAGATCTTCAGACTCCAGCTTTTTCTTGATGACTTCATGCTTCAGAAAAGTGCAGGTTTAAGCGATAACAGTTTTTTCAACCAGGAAATCATGCTTGGCTCATGTCCATGGTGACGTGTCCTTTTCCGGTTCAATTTTCAAAATTAAATCAGATCAGTAGATAGTACCAAAACTGTAGTGTAAAACGCCACAGTAAGCAACTTTTAATGTTGCCGTAAAATTTGCTCTCCCGTGTACTCAAAGAAGAAAGTTTTTTTTTTTAAAAAAAATGGGCGGGCTAATTTCAGCCCGAAAGCTTTGCATCCAGTTCGGCTAGACTTCAGTGTATATACTTACTCGGGCCTGGCCTATTGCGGTATTAGGCCCACTCGTAACTCCAAGAACGTCGGTCATGGCCTCATTGCATTGATGGTGATGGCGTTGTGGTGTGTTTTTGGAACACGAGCAGGTGATGATTTTACACAAAAATCTTTCTGAGTGGCAGGCATTCTCTGTCGCTAAAAAAAACCTCTGCTATTTATGAGTAGAAAATCCTGCTTATTTCCGGCTGAATTTCTTCAAAAATACACTCTTCATTCTTAAATATAAATTATTTTAGCTTTTTTATATACATAGTGAATAGGCACGTGCAACACGTATGTGCCATACAATTTTATTCATAGTAGAAGGATTGTATACATTCATTTAATATATTATATATTTAATAAGTTTTTTCACAATAAAAATACTTTTAACTAAACAGCCAGTAAATAAGATTAAGGACAAAACTTTAGCAAGGACGGGACATGAGCACATATTTAATAATTTTTTTTCACAATAAAAATAATTTTTAACTAAACAGCCAGTAAGAGCATCTCTAAGAGATTCTCCATATCATTCCTAAATGTTAGGAATAGAGATTTTGATGAAAAACTACTCTCCAACAACTTTTCTAAATAGTAATCTAAATATAGTCATCTTCTATTCCGGATTTTTCGCTAGCCAAAAATAGAAGACGATAATGGCTCTTTAGAATACGCATGAGATATAGAAACACTGTTGGAGAGTGAAAAGATATAGAAAGCGATTTTTATACAAATGGCCCTTCAAATGATGATTCAGAGAGTAAGATTTAGAAAGACTCTTGTAAATGCTCTAAATAGGATTAAAGACAAAACTTTAGCAGGATTGGAAACAAGCTCAAATTGATGGCCAATGGGTGTAGCAAAAATGAAGCACCTTGACTATGAAATTCTTTATATCTGAATGTGCTAAATCTTTTGACACTTGTACTGTATACATGGGCAACCATTTTTGCAATAATCCATCCCAACATGGATCCCCAGATCTCTGAAGTGCGCAAGGCATGGAAAATTATGCCGGCCGTCTGCCTCGATCTCATCAAGATGCTTCATGCAGCTGCTGAAGCTGAACCCAGGAATGCTAGTCCCTCAGTAACTGCTCTCCTAGCATGGGAACAAGCTTGTCCAGCAGGCCTTGCATCAGACAGAACCAGAATGCAGTGCAAATGTCAAATCGGAGTGTCATTATTAATTGCGAAAACTGACCACACTACAATATGAGCCAACATAATTTCATATGTTTGCTTTCAGAATCAGAGCTAGTTTTTAACAAGATTACCATGTTGTCGCCATCCTTCATTCAATCTGAAATAAGCCATGATGACCATGGAGCTTCAAAAATTCAAAATTGCAAGCAACAAGTGGAGCAACCATCTCTGATAAGAGCTAAAAAAAAGTATCCAAAGTGAAATAATTTATTAGAAATGCTAATAGATCCAGAATGGACAGAATGCTAAAAGATAACCAGCAACCAATGATAAATTATTATTTGACCTTTAGTTCATGTAATGCTCACCTCTGGAGCTCAGTGGTTGCAGAGGTATCCCACTCTCCTTGTTAACTAATTGCTTACCCTTTCCAAATGTCGGCAGAGAAGAAATTAGAGAACCACTGAACAAATGGCTATACCAAATTAGTTGAGGCTAGCATGAATGATTGAATGACCAAATTCCATGTGTACCAATGATTGAACCAATACAATCAAATTTGAGAGTATTACCTTATCTTTGTTTTGTTACTATCATCATGATATTTTTCTGCATTGAAATCATATACAACAAAATGTGAGTTACTAAGGTTTTGATCAATATTGGAGAACTAAAAAAAGTCAGACACATACTTCTTTTCTTAGCTAAAATCAAGCGCAACCTTTTTTTTTTTTTTGAACGAAACATTTAAGGCTACAGTGTAGACAAGGCTGTGCCTTGAAACTGAACATAAAATCAATCAAAAGCTCAATAGGTTATAGTGTTAAAATGATCAAAGTGCATTAGATCGAGTTGGCACATCCGAAATCCATGCATCAGTTTACCAAAGGTAACCAAAGGAATACGATGCAGCAGAGCAATAGAAATATGCTGATGGCTTGTGGATCTGGTGGTAGCTCTGCTACTTGGGTTGGCTGTTAATGCTGACGAGAATTTGAGAGAGACAAGTAAAAAAAAAGAGGAATCACCCGTAGGAGGCTCATCCTCCACTTGCCAGTCAGCTACTGGTGCTCCAGGAACAGGGTCTGGTCCAGCTTCTGCTTCTCCTCGTTCTCCTTCTTGAAGAGCTTGATCTGCAGAACCTCGTAGGAGCCTTCCTCCAGCAAGGGTCGCCGTACACCTACAGCCATAGCAGGGAAAAAATCGAGATTGATCAATCAGCTGCTAGTGTATTCATTCATTCACACTCGAATTGAAGCGTTGATTATGCAAACACAATACAACTCCTTGCAGTTGCTGTTCACTACTTGAAATGGTGATCGATGGAGCAGCTCGCCGCGCTAGCAGGCGTGGTGGCGCCGGCGCTGCTGGAGCCGGCGGCGGCCGTCGGCCTCAAGTTCAGCAGCAAAGACCTCAAGTCCGAGAAGTCACTGTAGCAGCTGTATTCTTGGACTTGAGGGCGTCGCTGCTGAACTTCACGCCGGCGGCCGCCGCCGGCTCCAGCAGCGCCAGCGCCACCACTACGCCTGCTAGCGCGGCGAGCTGCTTCATCACCATGGTCTCGATCGGTGGAGCGGTCGCTAGCACTACTCTGTGGTTTGGCGATGCTCGTCTGCGAGCTACTAGCTACGTACGTGTTGTGGAAGAAGCCAAGTGATGGGCCGGCCGGACGGTGCTGCCTGCCGCCTCTTTTATAGACGATGTAGTGAGCGAGCGAGCCAGGCAGCCAGGCAGCAGTGCGCCGCGCGAGCCGAACTCGAAGATGCATGTTGCGCTGCGGCAAGCCGGGGACGAGCTGCTTGCATTGGCGTCGTTTGGGAGGGCCGATCGATCGAGTTCACGCAGGGTGGGTGATGGGCGTGGGCCGCGTGGCTCATCGTTGCCGTTGAGACACGAAACCCACCGCTCTCGTACGAGGGCCGCGTGGCTCATGGTTGCTACCTTTGAAAATAGTGGAGAAAATTCTTGTGTGTTCTCTTGACACATTTTCTCAAACTTTAATAGTATCTCCAATTCTCCATATATATATAGCAGTGCCCAAGAAATGATTTATTTAGCCACGCCAACAATCAATCAAAGAAGAAAAATGATATATATCCTTCAATAAGTCCACAAATTAAATTAGACAGCAATTCTTTCAAACAGGCCCATGGAATATATCCTTTTCCAAGAGTCATCACGATGGAACGGCTGTCCTAGGAGGCCCGCCAGTTTGACACAGCAAATAGCCGAAAACACCCATGAGAAACAATCTTTATCATAGGTTGGAAATGCATACATTTTCATCTCAGATTTACCATATCACATTATCAACATTTCTATTCTAAAATTCTCCGGCAACAAACACAAGTGACGTTCAGATCAACATGTGGATCATCTCCAGGAATGGCGCTACCTCCAGACTCTGTTTGTTTCAGTTCCGTAGCAATGCACCGGCAAACCTATATAAAACAAGTAAAAAGTAACCAACAGGATAAGAAACATCCACACGAGATTCAGATTTAAGATGTTTCCAAGACCAAGAGGCTATTTAGCATCATGTCAAATGACAGCAGATGCATGGTCAGATCATCCATTAGAGAAAAACGACTTATGGATCCACCAGCTTATCATTCTGAAAATTGCATAGATGAGAAAATGACATTTGCAACTTTGGACACTAGCTACAAACAGATAGATTTTGTAGGCACTGAGAAGAGAACATTGTTTAGATTATTGTTGACTAAAGCATCCTCAGTGATGGCTAGCTTTGTATTTGTATAGTCATTTGAAGTGGGGCATCCTTTGAGTCATCGTTGCTCAAAAATATCAGTTAGAACCTAGAACACTTCCAAATACATTGCGAAAGGTGTAGTTCTTGCCATTGCACAAGTTGGGGAACAGCTGCAAGCAAAGGTAACAATGACTGGGTTTCATTGTTGGGCTACAAGATATGAAGGTCGAATGAGACTGATTAGTGTTAATGGATTTGCAGTGGCTACATAAAAGATTATAGGCAGAAGCTTATCTAAATCACTTGGTATTCTTAGTGATGATTTGGTTTTTATCAACACCAGCTCTCTTGCATTTTTCTTTTTTGGTTGACCAGTTTTCAGTTCTCAGCCTGCAGAAGATGCATGAAACACTCAGATGTTTTTTTGTCCCTTTGTACAAAAAGTCTGATTGATCATAAGTAAACACATGCCATTTTTGTAAGTCCAAACTTTTACTGGGGGACAGGGGAGGGGGGCTGCAGTGTAGCTTCGTCTTCTAAAGCTGCAGCGAGTTCTTTCATTTTACCTTCCAATTGATCATCACTATCTTTTGTCTGCAAAGGTATTGTATAAAGTACTGATGGAAGCATCAAAGAAGTGATCCATAAAGGCTGAATATCAATCATTTATGATTAGAATTAATGAGAGCGCCAGAATATTTGGTGATGCAAATATCTGTAAAACATTCAGCTCGGTCTGTCTTAATTTACGGAGTTCACAATGAAGATACTTAGTTTATGCAAGAAAAGCTAAATTGATAAGGAAGCATGGAAAAATGGAAGTAAGTCACATATAAATCTAAGTGTAGCAAATGCAATGTGTATTCTTCTCGTTTTTTTCCTTTTTTTTTTTTGGCAATCATATAGCAGTAGATTATTTGAGGATAAGTGAATGGCATAAAGAAATTGAAGACAAAATCAGGTTGTCTATATGTAAACTGAAAACTGACCTTTCTGTCAACTTCGCTTTCTGGCAACAGCCTCTTGCGAACAATGGACTGCATGTTAGTCACTGTGTCTTTTATCTGCCAAGAAGACATATATTGCTTGTGATAACAGTTTGTAGTATGGTATGTGGAATGTGAATTATAAAGTGCACAGAGAAGACAGCTTAGTTTTTTTTCAAGCAATGTTGTAGTCGATTTTGATTCAGATGAAAAAACTGAGCCGCTCTAAGATGGAATTCAGAAGCATGATATATCCATCAATGAACTGCAATCATAAGTCATATAGATACAAAGCCTTGTACGACAAAAGTGAGTGCCATAGATACAGCCACAACCATCAGCATTAGAAATGCCCTGAATATTTTCCATCCTCAGGCTTTCCTGGTTTTGTAATATCTACCAAAGTCTATTTACCATATACTAGTAGTAATACAAATTGAACTGCTAGGTTAATCATATCCAAAGAGAGGTTAACAAAAATCTTCACATACTTGCGGTTAGCTCTAGAATATTGTTCCCTTGTCTACCGACCAAGGCACTACTCAAAATCCCATGAGTTCTTTGCACATACGAAGCCATTACAAACCAGTACACCATTGAAATATGCGTTTGATCTGATGGCAGAAAGCATCCCCTACTTGTGTTCATATGGATACAGAAAGAAACTAGTGCAGTTGACCAAACAAAATCAAGAATTAGAGGACTAGTACCTGGGAGCGGGAAACAAAATCCATAATCCCCATTTGAGATAAATGGTAATCAACCACATGTAAGGAAACAACAATGACAATAAAGAAACTGAACAGCTAGCATTCTAGCAAGATGATTACCTGGTACCGAAACAGCCTCCCATGGACAGGGTCCGGGCCCGGGTCGGGGACGGCGGCTTGGCACCTGGCGCTCAGCTCTCGGTCCTCCATCTCCGGGTAGCAGCGTTCTTGGACCTCCTCGTTGGTGAGGTCGCCGAATTGGTTGAGGCCGTACACGTTTTGCCCGGCGGCGGCGGCGTTGAGCCGGACGACGACGCGGCGGTTGCCCTTGAACAACCTGTACCGGCATTCCTCCTCACCGACGTCTCTGTAGGTATTGCCGTGCTTGGCCTTCCACCCCACGAACATCCGGCGGGTCTTCTGCTCGTACGATTCCTCCCCCATCCGGACCCCGCGCCCGCGGTATATCTCCTCAATGGCGCTGGCGCTGAGACTGTTAAGGCCAGATGTGGTCATCCCAGCGGCCCAGGACCGGGCGACACGGCGGCGGCTGTCCTTGAACACCGCGTACCGGCATTCCTCTTCGCCGGCGTATCTATAGGTCTTCCTGCACCTGGCCTTCCACTCCACGAACATCCGGCGGGTCTACTGCTCGTACGTGTCCGCGGCCGGCAGCGACACGGCAGCATCGGCAGCGACACCAGCCGCCGCCGCCGCGAGAGCAACCGTGGAGCCCAGCCCCATCCTGTCGCCGGCAACGACGACGACGAGGGTGGGTGGGTTGCGGGCCTCGACACTAAACGGGCCGGGCCTCAGACACTAAACCGGCTGCCCTTTGCGCTTTGGTGCACCGGAAATTGTCCATTGCAAAAGGGGGGGGGGGGGCTATGTGGAAGGTTGCAAAGTCATTGGATAATATAATTTAGTTTTGCAAGTTGATTTGCTAAAAAAATAGTTTTGAAACTTGAAATTTTTCCTCTTGTTAGTATGGACATGGTTATATATGTTACTAGATAAATGTCCGTGCGTTGCACTGGGTACCAAATTTTTACTCATATACTTACGGCGATGCACGTGGCTTGTGGCTTCGACAAATATATTAAGCAATCTACAAATCTAATTACATAGATAATATAAAAGCATGTTTCATGATCTTTATCACTAATAACGTGTAAATGTAGTTTATGAAAGGAGCAAGCATGGTGCAATGAAGTAATCTACAAATCTAATTACATAGATAATATAAAAGCATTGGCGGACCCAGCACTAGGGCCACTAGGGTCGTGGCCCTAGTCATGGCCCAAGTAACAAGGGAGCAATTCTTCAATTTTTTAGCCCATCAGACATCAGCCCAACCAAGAAGTCCAAGCCAAGCCAGGGTATGGGTCTCTTTTTATTTCTCTCTCTTCTTTCCACTACAAGAGAATAAGTTTCGGTTTAGTATTTCATACCATGTACGAAGTTTTTATACTACGGGTGAAGAGGTTCAAACTTACCCTTAAAGGGTGTCTCCTGTAGGCACCGGTGTTACTCATCATAGAACATATATAGTATCCACAATGTATACTCCCAGGCTTTTGCTTGGGGCACTGTGTGTTTTGTATATGAAAATGTTAAGTAATGCTTTTAATAGCCATGTAATGGAGTACTGAAGAAGTAAGTTACACTTACCGCACATAGTGTTTTTATAGCCAGCTTTACCTTCCTTGCTAGATCATGCCTTCCATGATGTGTAGTGACATAGAACCTAAATGCCCTATTCAAATTATTTTAGCAAATATAACTTGTTAGTATCCAAAAGTAAACGTTACAAGTATGTATACAAACATATAAGCTAATGAGAATTGTCGATATGTATACGTCTTGAGAATCGATATGAACTCTTTGTATGTCACTAGGTCCCTATCTATTGAATCAAAGACCCATGACATGCTCCTCTCGACATCGACAGCTATACAAATCTAGTGGTTGCTGTATGAATTTAATCATAGAACTAGATAAGCTCTTTTGCATCGAATAAAATATATCGAATAAAGCTTTAAGTATAGAGTTGAACTTACTCGAAGTTGTATGGTAGCCATATAGTAGAGTGCTGTTGGAGAATTTTGAAAGCCAGGGCAATGTATGCTGCAACCTTAAGGGACTCTTCCCTTAGTTTCGCCGTACGGATGTGCTCTTTCTCCCGAAGAGTCTTTGCAGCAGCTAGCTCTTTAGCATCCAGTTTCCACTGTTTAAGGTAATTAAAATTTGTTTGGGCTATAGCTTGAGGGTCTATATACCCGGCTTTCACACTTGGCATTTGTTTGATAATGTGCACTTGCATTCTACAAATCACGACGTGGGTTAATTACAACAAAATTCAAAGATTACATTCATATCATATCGGGCGGACAAGGACTTACATGCACCACGTGCGAATTAGATTCATCTCCATTGCTCCCAGGTGAAAGCATGTCTACATGTCATTGAAGTCAAAGACAATTTTTCCGGCTGGGCTTCCAAATGTGCTGGTGGGGAAGCATGCTTGTATGAGGTCTATGCTCGTTGAGAGAACACGTAAGTACCAATCATGGAACCTTCTCATTCCAAGTGGTAGGTGTTGGATGTCCCGGTTTGGTAGGAAGGGCTTGCCTCTTTTATATGTTTTTGGGCAATCCTTTGACCATTTGATGGCATCAACATTTGGATACTGCTTTGCAATTTGGTGGAGTTTGCTAGTAACGGCCTCCTCAGAACCCCGTGATGGGACTTTTTTAACTTGGTTCTCAGGCTTGAATTGGTCATGGGAATACCACTTGGACACCGACGAGACGTCTTTCATCAGAACATAAACTTGCAATATGGTGATTGGATGCTTCTTTCGAAGTTTCCATTCAGGCACGTCATCATCTTCTTGTGCATCACCTTCTTCAGGAGGCACTCATTGTTCATGTATCGGCTGTGCTTGTTGAGAAGACTGTGGCATCTCATCATGCACTTACTCGGTACGAGTTGGAGAAGATTGTGGCATCTTATCAGGCACATGCTCGCTAAGAGGCGGGGAAGAATGTGGCATCTTAGGAATGTGGTGGTCATGAGATGGTGAAAATATCTCCCCGACTTCAACAACTCGCTCCAAATTTTGGAGAGGGGAATGCGGTGAAGAAACAATCAATATAATGTCCCATTTGTGTCAGAGGATGAACTGCCCAATAACGTCTCCAAGTAACACCAACCCCTCGGGAGTTGCATAGTCTATCCTCCACTGCATGAACTCAGGCTTCACGGTATGCACCTCAACCCTAGTGTAGTCCGACGGTATCTTATTATTGTGGTGTAAACCACTAGGAGGATGTGCCACACCCGTTGCCACCTCCATCACAGTGTTTTGTCGGCCGCTGAGAAACACCAATGTGCAACTAGTTGGTTCTCATATACGATCGACGAGGGTTGTGGTTGCAGTGGAACCTTGGCTATTAGGAACTTTCAGAGGGCTGCCAACTAATGCCAGTTTTCCCGGCGGCGTCACTAATATCCGTGGCTCCATAGATAGTCTTTGCTCCTCCAGCGCCTTTGCAACTAGAGCCTTCACTTGGAGCTCAAGATTAGTCTTTTGGTCTCTGCCATGTTTCTTGTACATGTGCCTGTCCTCTTCGAATCCTTGCTTCCAGGTCGTCCTTTTCTCTAGCCCCTGGTGCGGTCTGTGTCCTCCTTGTTTTCCAAGCCAAGGCTAAGCTCGTCCCTCTCTCTAGAAGGATTGAATGATCCCTTCTCCTTGTCTTCAGCGTATTTCAATATCCTTGATACCGCCTCTTGGGTCTCCGGCTTATCAAACTTAGGATTGCCGCCGGATGATTCTGTACTCCTCGCATATATCCAATTCCTTGAGCGTACCCTCAAATTCGTCACATCGATATTTTCAGCAGTTGTGGCATCTTCGTCCATCTTCCTAAACTACTCTTCCTTGGCATAGTAGCCACTCGGGCCTAGATGATGGTGGTGTTTGTTCCTCTTCGCCAGTTCGGTGTTACGGGCACTGAGCTCCAATGCCTCTAGTGAAGTCTTTTGAGCCACAAACTCCTCCCATTGACTAGGAATTATTTTGCCGAACTCGTTGAAGAGAGTTAACCCTTTTAGATATACTTTATGTTGAGCTCCGACCTTCAACGTCGGAATAACTCTCCCATCATCCTGAAAGCATTTTTTACCAGTTCATGCTTACCCTCCGAAAATGTAAAATTGAGCTTCAGCTGCCTATCCTATAGTTCATTCTTTTTGTTCTCTGGTACCTCTTTCCAGTTAGGGATTGCTGGGTTCAATTTATCTCTTAATAGGGCTCCGATCGCATTACGGAATCGTCCTCTTAATGCCTTCGGCTCAAGGATCTCCCCTGCTGGCCCAACCTCCGTTATCACATAGCATGCCTTATCTGGATATAGATTTTCTTTTCTATCCTCTTGTTTCCTCTTAGGCTTGGTAGTCATGGTTGTGTCTTGAGGTTGTGGAGCAGAGGCATCGTGATCCGTCTCTGTGGCTATTGCCTCTGCTCTCCTTTCCTCTACTCCGTCTTGTCCAGCGAGATATCGCTGACGTCGACGTCGTCTTTTCTGAGTTTCAGGAGGGACCTATATATACGATAGGTCAAAGTGTTAGCAGAGATAACACAACCAAAGCTTTAGTAAAATTTACAAGTTAAGGCTTTTTCCCTACCTCCTCGTTCGGGTCAAAATCCTTGTTCAAATCTTCCTCCGTTGGCCTCCTTCTAGCTTCATGTGGGAAAGGATCCTTAGGACTTACATATCCATCTTCTGAGTCATCATCATCATCATCCTCTTCTTCTTCGCCTTCATCAGCCTCTCCTGCTCTTTCTTCTGCTCCCCCTTCCTCCTCGTCACACTGCTCCTAAGTAAGCATCACTTCTAGATCCTTTTTTAACTCGTTATCGAACTGCTCCTGAGTAAGTTGGTTCTCTAGTGCTTGCTCCTCATAGGTTGGCTGCTCATCATGCTTGGGGCATTGGGCTACACTGTCTGGTGTCCACGATATTATTTCGCGCTTTGTTCTAATAGATGCAAGATAGTGTGCTCTAGGTACGCAAGAAGGTATAAGAAATAAAAAAGGTTTATAAACCAAAATAGTCCTATAAAACAATAATATATCAAAAAAACGAGTAGTAGCAGTAGTAGAGGCCTCAGAAACATGTCAATCATCATCTGATCTTGAGCTTGGAGCATCAGGCATCATAACAGAGAAGAGAGAGAGAAGGTAATGTAGGGGCGGCTGCTAATGATGCTAAGTTCCTCACAAGTTCTTGATCATCAGCTCATATTCCATATAATGTATGGACTTAGACAATTTCATCATCGACAAAACAAATGAGAGGAGAGGAGAGGGGAGAGTTGGTAAAAAAAGCAACAGCTGCTTAACAAACATAGAGCAACAGCTGATGGCAAAAGTAGTCAAAATATTGCTTAACAGACATAGGGTAGTAAGTAGTAAGTCGTAGCCATAGTTTGGGCTATTGGCCCATGCATAAGCCCACCTAGTAGTAGTAGGAGGAGTAGTAGTAGTAGTAGTAGTAGAAGTAGTAAGAGGAGTAGTAGGAGGAGGAGGAGTAGTAGTAGTAGTAGTAGTAGCAGCCATAGTTTGGGCTATTG